CTGTAATTCTTAAAAGACGTTGCACTTTCCTGATTGCTGGTAAATATTTAAACATTACTACTGGAACTTACTTGAAAGAGACTATTTGACTTTCAATCTTTCTGAGGAAAATACCTGCGTGTTTAAAACGGGTTCAGTTTACTTAGAACGATATGATTTTGAGTCCGATTCTCCTGTCCTATATGTTTTATTTTCGATCGTCTTATTACAAATTGTATGCACCTTTTTATTTGTAAGACTGTCAGAAACAATGTTGTAGTAGGGCCTACTTATGTATTATGCACAAATAAATATTTGTCTCGTATAGTTACAGTTTGAATTCTAAATTATCATTACATTTTTATAAATGTGTGCATTAATCATAGTAATAATTTTAGCTCCCTTAACTCATGTTTCAGAATGGGCACAGGTCACTAATTCAAAATACATCTTTACCTACAAAATTATTATTGTCATTATCTTTTTCATACAAAAAGCCAATTTGTTCATGAGTTTTTAATGCGTTTTTTACCTAAAGTGTATTGTATTGCTAGCTGCAATACAATAATTTCCATCGAGGAGGCTTCGTGAAAGATTTAATTGCTTATTTAAATCTACCGTTTGAAAAGGTGATAAATACGTCCTAGATATTGAAAAGAAATTCGTATGAACCGACTTTTTTAAAGTAGGTTTAGTCAACTCACGCGAGTGGAGAAAACGTATTAAGCCACCTACAACGGTTTGTAGGAAGATATATATATGGCACTGAGGCACGTATAAAATAACTTATAATCATTTACAAACGAGTAGTATTTATATGGAGTTTATGCAGTGAGAATTTATTAGTAGCACAAATGTATTGTGTGTAGCGCCCTGCCTAATTGTATTGGCCTAGCTCAGGGTGGAAGAGGTTCGCTTGCACGTATTGCCACCCCTGCCTAATTGTATTTGCCTAACTCAGGGTGGAAGGGGTTCGCTTGCACGTATTGCCACCCCTGCCTAATTGTATTGGCCTAGCTCAGGGTGGAAGGGGTTTGCTTGCACGTATTGCCACCCCTGCCTAATTGTATTGGTCTAACTCAGGGTGGAGAGGGTTTGCTTGCACATATTGCAGCCCCTGCCTAATTGTATTGGCCTAACTCAGGGTGGAAGGGGTTTGCTTGCACGTATTGCCACCCCTGCCTAATTGTATTGGCCTAACTCAGGGTGGAAGGGGTTCGCTTGCACGTATTGCCACCCCTGCCTAATTGTATTGGCCTAGCTCAGGGTGGAAGGGGTTTGCTTGCACGTATTGCCACCCCTGCCTAAATTGTATTGGCCTAGCTCAGGGTGGAGAGGGTTTGCTTGCACGTATTGCCACCCCTGCCTAATTGTATTGGCCTAGCTCAGGGTGGAAGGGGTTTGCTTGCACGTATTGCCACCCCTGCCTAATTGTATTGGCCTAGCTCAGGGTGGAGAGGGTTTGCTTGCACGTATTGCCACCCCTGCCTAATTGTATTGGCCTAACTCAGGGTGGAGAGGGTTTGCTTGCACGTATTGCCACCCCTGCCTAATTGTATTGGCCTAACTCAGGGTGGAAGGGGTTTGCTTGCACGTATTGCCACCCCTGCCTAATTGTATTGGCCTAGCTCAGGGTGGAAGGGGTTTGCTTGCACGTATTGCCACCCCTGCCTAATTGTATTGGCCTAACTCAGGGTGGAGAGGGTTTGCTTGCACGTATTGCAGCCCCTGACAAATTGTATTGGCCTAACTCAGGGTGGAAGGGGTTTGCTTGCACGTATTGCCACCCCTGCCTAATTGTATTGGCCTAACTCAGGGTGGAAGGGGTTCGCTTGCACGTATTGCCACCCCTGCCTAATTGTATTGGCCTAGCTCAGGGTGGAAGGGGTTTGCTTGCACGTATTGCCACCCCTGCCTAATTGTATTGGCCTAGCTCAGGGTGGAGAGGGTTTGCTTGCACGTATTGCCACCCCTGCCTAATTGTATTGGCCTAACTCAGGGTGGAGAGGGTTTGCTTGCACGTATTGCCACCCCTGCCTAATTGTATTGGCCTAGCTCAGGGTGGAAGGGGTTTGCTTGCACGTATTGCCACCCCTGCCTAATTGTATTGGCCTAACTCAGGGTGGAAGGGGTTTGTTTGCACGTATTGCCACCCCTGCCTAATTGTATTGGCCTAACTCAGGGTGGAAGGGATTCGGTTGCACGTATTGCCACCCCTGCCTAATTGTATTGGCCTAACTCAGGGTGGAAGGGATTCGCTTGCACGTATTGCCACCCCTGCCTAATTGTATCGGCCTAACTCAGGGTGGAAGGGATTCGCTTGCACGTATTGCCACCCCTGCCTAATTGTATTGGCCTAACTCAGGGTGGAAGGGGTTCGCTTGCACGTATTGCCACCCCTGCCTAATTGTATTGGCCTAACTCAGGGTGGAAGGGATTCGCCTGCACGTATTGCCACCCCTGCCTAATTGTATTGGCCTAACTCAGGGTTGAAGGGATTCGCTTGCACGTATTGCCACCCCTGCCTAATTGTATCGGCCTAGCTCAGGGTGGAGGGGGTTTGCTTGTTTTCAGGAGCATCTTGATATTGTAGCTCGGGGATAGTATTTACAGGTCCACTACTTCAATTGGTAATTCAGAATTAAATCCAAAGATGTAGGAGGCACAGCAAACATTAACAAAATTCATCAATCGGAATGCAATAGTTAATCGTCACCACTGCATGTGCACACATTAGCAAGTTAACATCTGTCTTTCACGTGATCCGCCCAACAAAATTTCAAATAGTAGAAAACTTGAGAATTAAATGTCAAAAACACTCCCCTTTTTCAAGAAAATTTCTCAAACTGTCTTCTATTGATAGTATTACTTTATGTGAGCACTAAAACATTTACTAATGCATAAACATTGAAGGTCAGCTAGAGCGTACACAATAGGTGTGATTTTTTAGGTTACTCTATACAGTCCTAGGTATCTGGGGATTGGTTCGCAAACTTAAATGAATTAGATTGTGGGCGATTCTTCTTTATCACTTAGCACTACACGATGGAAATGGCTTAACACTATACTGCATCTTAAAAACTTCTTGTATGGTTGTGATTTCAGAGGAGAATGACAGAACGCCTTCCGATACCAGAGTTAAAAAAGATGTCTAGTTTCACTTGAAACCTATTGGAGACTAATAACAGTAATCAAAACCCATTTCACATTTTTCATTACAATAATAATACCTGAATAATGTTTGACCACAATATTTGGCTGTAATAGCATAAGTGTTTTTGTCTGAGATCCAGGTAACTGTAATACACAAAATGATCTATTTTAGATCATCAAAGGTTATTATGACTAAGCATAAAAGAAAAAAAAAAAAAGAAAAATATGCAATACATTTGGACTCGTAAATTAGCAACACATTCCGAAATGGCACTGTTGCTTGTAAATATTTTTACTTAAAAGCTGTGTTGTCGAAAATTATGATTGTAAATTTAAAAGGCGAACCAATGATATAGAAGTGTTCAAGGAGCAGTATTAGCTGTTTTTTACTTGCTGCGTATATTGATAGATACCACTTGTCGTGCGTCATAGACTTAATTTATCTGTCACTTTGACAAATTCAAACATCAGGTAACATGAAATGAAGCAAGTTGGTGAGCTAGTCAGCCATAGGTAAATTTATCTAAACTTGTTTCAAAAAAAGTTTCCCAGCAAACTTTTAACAATGTTACAACAATGCTTTTTGTTTATTAAATGATACTAGGGCAACTAGGGGAACAAAAGTCCCTAAAAATCTCAAATGCAAAACAAATAATTGTAATATTAAAACAAACTAAGAATTTATTAATCAATGTGGCAAGATAGATATATTTGTACACCATATCCTTTGAGTGAAACCTTCTCTTTGTTTGCCTGGGTTTTGTTATTAATTTTCAATAAATAATTGCATTCCTTCCATAATTTTAAATTTGCTAAAACAACAAATGAAATTGTTTGTGTTTAGATACTGTTTACTGTAAAAATATTGTTACATACTGTTAAAAGAATAATCATCAACTGATTTTTAAATACTTTGACACTGGTAAGGGTTCCGTTTTCCAGTTGAAGCAAAATACCATATTCCTTTTCATCGGCATCGACACCTTTATTTTGGTTAGTTTAGGAAATTAAGGACACGGAAACCATCTTCTGATGTTACTGTTATGTATGTATGCTCCCTTTACTATATACTATGCATTCTATGATATATTATGTAAACCTCTTTTTACGCAGGAGCCGCAGGCGAGTGTGGATAGTTTCTCGAATGCAGCAAAGACAATTTGCGCTCATGTTACACGTTTTATGTTTTCTCACAGTTACTATAAAACCTAGAAATAATTAGTCTTTCAAACACTGTACAATACGTTTTTAGGTTAGGTTAATTCGAAGCGTTGAACGAAATGAGAAACACTGCACCAGCTGATGGTAGTCGTAGTATCTTTAAATGTTGACAACCTATTTTCAAGCGTGCACGTATGTCGTGCTTAATAAAAGCACATTGTTTTGTGTTGTTTGGTTGCAATACTGGAGTGCGCCAAAAACAAATTAGTGTGGCAAAAGTAAGTAAATGCAAAAATTAGCTACATGGAGTGCTATAATCAGTGCAAGAAAGCCCACATTGTCAGGTAACTGTAGGACAATGAAATTTACTCATAAATTAGTAAGTAATAAGATAAAAAATAATAAGATTGGTAGTACAATGTAAAAGGCAATCAACGTTTGTTCTGAAAGCTTTTAATAAATTTCAAGTTCTAGCCTATTCAGTGTCCTTGATATAAATGATGGTTGTCATGGCGTCAAGCGTATTTAATTGCATTCTCTCCTTAAAAACTGTCCGATTCTTTAGTGAATCTAAAGTATAAATGTTATCAATATCAAATACTCTCTAGAAAGAATGTTCGAACCAACAATTTTTTCACGTGTTTACCAATGCTCAACACATTTTTTGGCAACACATAAATTTGTCAAAGTGACATCGTAATTGAGTAAATTGCTCGGTAACAGCAAGTGTTAACCATCTTGTATCGTCAACTTGTTTTTGCCGAATACAACCGTTACTTCAGCGTTGAAACTTGGCTGAGCAACTTGCACAACAGGTTAGTTATTAAAAATAACAGTTTTAACGTAGAATTTGATTAGATATGTACTATGTCAATTACATACAGATTTTCAATTACAATTTATTTTATTTTATATAACTATAGGAATACATATTCTTTTGAGTTGTAACTATATTATTCTCGGGACTTCACTCTGGTTTTAAATAGGTGTTAAATATTATGGGACGGCAATTGAATTATCCAGTCTAACTAATTGTAGGCTGAACAAGTTCTATGACTATTTAAATTATATTTTTACGATTTAATCGGTCAGTTATTTTATTTGAATACACAGAAATGATCAGATGTAGGTGAACATGGAGTAAGATAACAGGCCGGACATATTTAAAAAATCGTAAATCATATGTTGTAAAAATTAATATCAACATATTATTATTCAAATCATTTGCTTTGATTGTAATATGTGTGACAGTGTATATTATATATTTTCTACAAAAAATTCGACCTATAATTCAAATCATTAGCTATGTATGATAGTGTCCAATCAATTTATTTTACATTTACAATGTATTATTTAAATAATTTGCATTGATTTTGTTATGTATGATAGTGCCCAGTAAATTGACTTTACATTAACAAAGCCGATCTACTGTTCAACTAATTTGCTTTGATTTTATTTAATGGTGTCCAGTAAATTGATTGTACATTAATATAAAAATATTGACCTAAAATTAATCAAATTATTAGTTTTGATTTTTAAGGTGTACATGTATTTGTTATTTAGGAAAACTAGTTGGCCGTATGGTTGTAAAAGAATTTGGTTTATCTCATTTCATTGATTCCATGGATTCTTATAAGTAAAATACATAAGAATAATGTGAACCAATTTTAAAGCCTAAAAGAACCCCTAAACCAATGTGGAACTTATTGATAGTGTGATAAACGGTAAATAGGCTACCGTTTTGTATAGTTTAGCTGCTAACAAATAACTACGTAAATGTAAAAAGATTATTATAGTTATCTTAATCAACAAGCTAACCTACCATCTAATATAGTACAACAAGAAATAAAAAGGATCGGCAAACTGACACATACTTTCTCCCAATAGCTTGTCAAAAACAATAATGAGTAAGATATGGGAATAACCATCATATGTTATTGATAAAATCACAGAAATAGGTAATTTTTACGGCATGGGTGGACGAATGGCTAGACGAATTTTAACATTTAAAAGGACTACAACATTCTAATCAACATCGTTAGACTATATTTTATATCATATTAGGCCTACTCTTTGTTCAAGCTAAATAATTCACTAGACATAAATTTCTATATTGTTTAACTAACTGTAAAAATTTGCTTTATAAATGATTTCCTTCAGTTGGTGGAGTCCACTAGAATGTCATTACCTCCTTTGTGACGTAAAACTTTAAGGGGGGGGGGGGATAAAATTGTACTCACAAAGGCAGGATAGGCCTTCTTAGAATTGCCTCCACTCGAATATCTTCCCTGGAGTGTTCAAAAGGAGTAGAAAAATCCAGGGGACGAAGCTGCTCACGGTTTTGAGAGATTCATTATTTTAACTATCCGAAGGTTCAGAGATCTAGAAGTGTTCAGACGATCAGGTCATTCTTGTTTATCCTCTTCCTCTTCGTGTAAGTGTCTTCAAAATGTTGCCTAACTTTTAGAACGACTCTGTATGTCAGACGAATGTTTTTTTCTTGTAAATTCGATAAACAACTCGTGTTATACTTTAAATTATCTGACTAAAGGCTCTGGTTAAGTATTGTAAGGTGTATTACGTACGTCAATAGATCAAACTTTGTCGCCATTTCAGTTAAAAGTATAGGCTAAAGGTGAATTCGAATCGGGATGCTCCTAAGATCACCCGCAACGACGAAGTTTAGAGCTCAGGTGACAAGTCTCGGGGTATTTAAACGGCGAATAAACGAGAAATAATTTAGACGTAACTACAGGGAGCGGCAAAATGATCTGACGGTTTTCTTTGCCACCCTGTTAAGCGAATGAGTGGCGTAGGGTGGTGGGAATAGGGGCGTTACAAAGCCAACGTGTGGACATTTTTAATAGCCATGGAGCCGTGGGATAGCTGAGAAACATGTATTTGTAGTAGGAGTGTTTTTAAAAGTTGAAATTCCTGTGTAGCTGTTCAGTACAAGTTTCAATGTGGGCCAAAGAAGAAAAGTCCCAACTCGAAACACCATTTTGCTGTGGGTGGGTAACTTTAGAGCTACTAGTTCAGCATTGAAAATAAAATCTGACAACGTGGTGTGAAACTAAAGAGAGTGAGGAAGACTGTATGTTGTGGTTGAAACTGTGATTCGTCGCTCATAATGAAAATGTTGTTACATGTAAGAAAATCAATCACTACTTGTTCTGAAAAAGAGATGCGCTTTGCATAACCACTGGGTTTCAACTGTTGCACAATTGCCATTTTGTATGAATGGAAATGCAGGTCGTATTGTAATACTCTTCTACCGAGCGGCCAGACAAGTACAGAGCTGCAGCTTAACGTTTAGGCCACTGAGGACTAACTTCAACAGCATCTCTTACTCTCTCAGCGTTCTCTGGCGTCCGGACTGACCTTGGACTTGGACAGCCTGTTGGCTTTTTTTCAATGCTGAACTAGTAGCTCTGAAGTTACCTACTCACAGCAAAATGGTTTTTTGAGTTGGGACTTTTCCCCTTGGACCCACATTGAAACGTGTACTGAACAGCTACACAGGAATTTCCACTTTTAAAAACACTTCTACTACAAATACATGTTTCTCAGCTATCCCACGGCTCCATGGCTACTAAAAATGTTCACACGTTGGCTTTGTAACGCCCCTATTCCCACCACCCTCCGCCACTCATTCGCTCGACAGGGCGGCAAAGAAAACCGTTAGATCATTGGGCGCTCCCTGTATTTACTAGGTAAACGGGACGGTCGTAATTTCAAACTAAACTATAGCCACCGCTAGTCACTGGCAGGCAGGAACTGTCGGGAATACAATAAAGTTGCAAAAATTACCTTATAAAATTACGTCATATACCTTTACCAATAAATATTCGTATTTGAAATACTTTAAAATTCATAATTGGAAAATTATTGTTTTAGCGGGGTAATAACTTTTGCTTTATAGGTTGACGTAATTTGTTGTCTGTTTGGTCGTCCTTGCATAATATACAGAATCTATATAATATATATACAGAATCTATATAATATATACACAGAATTATATCTGATATAACCGTGGGTTCTAAGTTAGATAAAAAAGGAAATTTAATAAATTATATTTGTAATATGTTTATTTATGTGGAATTTGGCTTTCAGAATGATTCAGTTTCGCAAGTTATAGTAAAAATTATCCGTGGGATTAAATTGAGTATTAAAAAAACAACGCCTATCACTATAGTTTACACCTAAGAAATATTTGTTACAATTCCAATTAATTATTTTCAGACAAAACACTATGGAAGTCAGGCCTACTTTGGCACTCGCAACATTGATCTGCTGGATAGGTTTGGTCTCTGCACCTCTTGAAGATGGCACCCTTACCAGTGATGATCTACTCGGGATGCCAGGCGTGATAGTTTCGAATAGAAAGGGTCGACTTGAGGATATGGTACCCCCTTGTAGCGGTGGAAGGTGTTCTGTACAGGTATTTACCATACTTATTACGAATAAGTGAGAATAAACGGAACTTATTAATAAAACTAAGCTCAATTTTGTTATTTATTTAAGTATTTGCCTAAGAATAAGAAATTTAAAATGTTATAAGGGTGTTCTTTCAGTGCTTTATAGTGTCATCGGTATCTTGAAAATTGTTCCAGTGATTGGCGTGTGGATTAGGGATAGGTAATTACAGTTTTAGTTTACTGTAGAAAATTAATTTAAAAGACTTTTTAAACACGGTTTTATGGTTAGCTAAATGAGCCATAGTTAAACCTATACAGGGTGGAAAAAAATCCCGGAAACTGTCAAATATTTCAAAAAATAATAAAGATTAAAATACAATTCGTACACAGTTTCTGGGCACAAAAGTAATGTTCACATATTATTCAGTGATACGCTAATGTGTCGGGGGCTGGCCCTCTGGCAGTCAGAAGAAAATCTTAAATGTAAGCATAGGCTGATATGCACATCAAATTTAAGGTCTTTATAAGTAGAAACCAATGCCGCAAATTTTAGATGAACGAAAAAAGAACAACAGAGTAAAAATGGCAGCCGTTTAAAGATTAAAAATACAGACTTAAAAATTTTTTGAATTTCTGCCATTTTAGACTTGTTTGTTCGCTCGAGTTCGAATTTGCAGCATGTCATTCCACCAGTAATGACATTTAATTAAATCTATATAATTAATACGCTATATGTTAAGATTTCTCTCGAGTGAGTCAATTGCTCACTTTTCTCACTAGTTGCACAAATAACTATTGTCCGTGTAACTTCTCCGCCATTTCTTAACCGATTTTATCCATTGACGTCTCATTGGAAAGAGCGTGTCGGGTAGATTTGCAAACTGGCCTTACATTTTTGAAAAAGTCCCTTGGGCTCTGCCCCAGTGGCTTTGAAAGTGCTCATGTTATCCTTATGAAGAACATAATTGTTTACATTTTGATCAGCTGTATAATTTAATTGCTGTTATTTATTTTCCAATTCAATGAAACGCATTGAGTACATTTATTTACTGTTTGAGCTTGTGTAAACATAACCCCCCAGACGGATCGTGTTAGTATGGTTGTATTTTAAATTTGTGTATTTATCGTTGTTTTGTGTCGCTATGACGGATCTTGTAAGCATGATTGTAACTTAAATTTGTGCATTTATCGTTGTTTTGTGTAGCTATAATTTGTTTATTTGTTGTTTTATTCTTTTAAATGCCTCCGACGCGACGACAACGACACAGACAGGAGGTGGAATCGTGATAACGACCGCAGCTACACTCTACAGAACAGTGGCGCGTAATAGGCTTAACTCATCACAGTCAGCACCTGACCCTGGACAATCTCAACTATTAGGTTACAAATGTGCCCTAACACTACCCAAAAACGACTTTTCGTTCTCAATTGGCCCTCTATCAATGGCCTGTGTTGCCTGTACAGCGAGGCATTTTGAGAAGGAAAAACCGGATGGAATTCTTAGGTTTATCAAAAACGAAGATAAACATGGTCTGAGTTACACACCGGTAATCTTTGAATTGACTCTATTAAACTCATTGTAAATATGACTGTTATTCGTTTTGAAATAACTCCTGTAATGCATTGCAATTGCTCAAATTCGTACACTAAAAAAAAAAAAAAAAAACTTGCGTACATATAAACGGGGTTTGCATGCATTTAAGATGATTTTCTGACTCCTAGTAGACCGTCTCCCTTATGGGGTGGCGTATTATAGAATAATGTGTAAAAATGATTTTAACGACCAATTACTGTGTACCACGTTTTGTAGCTCCATCTTGAAAATTTTTTTTAAATTATATACTGTAACTCTCCCGGGACTTTTTTCCACCCTGGATGTAATGTATCATAAAACGATATCTGTATAGTTAAAATTAAAATTAAAATCCTTCTTTATTATGGTTAAATTAGCACATAATGGTCCTTTCATACAGTTAAAATCTAAATAAATAATAAACAAAACATTTAAATAAAACAACAACAAAACAGTACAGTACAGTCTGTAACATAAGAAAATAAAATTCTATACATTTCTTCATCTTCTCTAACATACAAAGAGACACAAATTATGTCTTATGTTAAGAAACTGTATCATCATGATCTCCTAAATATGGTGAACAAGAAAATTGTCTCTTCGTAATCATTAAAAGAAAAACACCCAAAACTTTAAAGATAACTTGAGACTACGGACTTTTAAATATATGATAAACCTAACAAATGACGTACTAAATTGATTATAAAGAAAAGCATTTATTACAATAAAACATATTTGAATTTGTGTTGTAATTAATGTATATAATTGAGAACAAAATTATGAATTTATTTTTGTACTCGGCCTCTAACGTACTTAGGCCTTTTAATTAAGCCTATTTAATTATAGGTAGGATAAATTCTGTGCAGCAAAAAAAAATTGCATTATTGTTATATAAAAAAAGAACTTTCAGTAGGCCTATAAGGCAAAATGGGTTTTGTAGTAGTTGTACACAGTCCTACTTAGTTTGATAGTCATTTTTGTGCAGAAAAGATATTGAATAGTAGATCAATATTTAGAAGAAAACGCTTGTGTGTGTGGATAGAAAAATAAACAGTAGAACTAAATTTAATTTCGACATTATTTTAGGTTGTACGAGCGCCCCAGAACCAGCAACAAGTAAGTTGACTTTATAAATTATTATTTAATTGGCCTTGTCTAGGCTCCCTATGTATTAAGGTCAGACTGTAACTTTAAAAACTCATAAAATACAATAAAAAAACCAGTTTTCGTTTATGGAAGGCACATCCCCGTAGAAAACCTGCAGACCAAGAGAATATCCACTTTCCTTATTGGATCTTGATTTATTCCCCAGTTTAATGGTAGGCCTATCAGGTAAAATGCACACTTCATCGAATACCAAAAATATTCCTGGCTTTCCTTCAAATGCCCAACTGATGAAAGCCAACCAGGGTCACCACCGAGTCGACCACTCTTATAGACCACGTCATCGTCAAACGTAAGACCCCTTAGGAGAGTTATAAATTACCACAAATTATTCATGTCTGCATTGACTTTGAACTGAAGGGAATTAAAACTAAAATGATACCAAACAGAGATAAAAAAAGTTGAAATTGCAAGGGCAGTGAAATGGAAATATGCTAGAAAATCTAAAATGTTAATAAAAAAACTATTTCTCAAAATACAATATGAGTAATCTATAATATTATAACTATAAGGCGGTGTTTGTCTGTTTGTCTCTCCGGTTGCCACTACTAAAATACTTTACCAATATAGTTGAAATTTAGCATAAATATTATGTATAAATATAATACCTAGGAATGTCACAGGCCTATTCTCTTCTCTAAATATCCCTAATGCTAAACGCTGAGGAGATACTAATAAATACAAGCACTTGTAACTTGCATAACTATTTATTCATAACTGAATAGAAAACAGTAGAACTAAATTTAATTTCGACATTATTTTAGGTTGTACGAGCGCCCCAGAACCAGCAACAAGTAAGTTGACTTTATAAATTATTATTTAATTGGCCTTGTCTAGGCTCCCTATGTATTAAGGTCAGACTGTAAATATTATGATATGAAAATTGTAAATAATTAACACATGGATTAATATAAAAAGTACAGAAGCAAAATAGCAAAATATGTAACAGTGGTCTCCCCTTAACAATGGTCTCCCCTCAAACTTTCGTACGCAACATTTGATCAATGTGGCGTCTCCAAATTTGTCCATCGTCCATCTTGATAAAATAGTGAATGTGACCGTCTCTACTTTGGACATTTCCTTAACCCCATTTACATTTCCCGGAATAGTTCCGTACTTGTACTCGTTCACCTGGTTTGAAGTATCTCACTATTCCTTTGGGTGGTTTTGTTTCTTTCTCTGTCTTAGGTAAGAGTAAACTTAAGTACGTGCGGATCCTTCTGTTGAACATCAAGAAGTATGAGCTGTTTCCAGTTGAATTCGGAGCTTGACGTAGTTTCATCAGCAGTTGGAGAAGCTTTTCTTCCAGTGTACCAGGCTCGTCTGACATGCAGTTGATAAGTTTCTTTATCGTTTGTACGAAGCCTTCGACTTGGCCGTTCGAAGAAGGATGGTAAGGAGCTGTCATTTTGTGCAAAGTTCCACATTTCTTAAAAAAGTTACTAAATTCAGAGAAGTTGAACTGACGACCATTATCAGAGACTATAACACTTGGTACTCCAAAGGTGGTGAATATTTTACGCAGCTCTCTGATTGTCCATGAAGATGTAATACTCTTCGTAGGTATGACTTCAACCCACTTGCTGAATGCGTCTACTACCAACAGAAAGTAATTTCCGTTGGTTGGCCCAGCGAAATCTATGTGGACCCGCTCCCATGGTTCACTTGCTGGCTCCCAGGGATGGTTAATTTCTTTCTTCGGTAAATTTTGTTTTTCCCTGCACTGTCTGCATTTTGAAATATTATCTTCTATATCTTTGTCCAAACCTTTCCAGTAGCAAAAGCTTCGTGCTATGTCTTTGGTTTTTACCTTTCCCAGATGACCAAAATGTAGTTCTTCGAGGACATGTTTTTGTAAAGATCTAGGAATCATCACTCTCCAACCTTTCATGATACAACCATCATGTAGACATAGCTCACCGTCATGATAACCATGGTGCTCCAGCGATTTTCCAGTTTCCAAAGCTAGTAGCAAGTGTTGCATGTTTTCATCCTTTTTCGTTTCTTGAGCAATTAGGTTATGGTTTAGGTTGATCGTTGCAATTTGGTACATATAGAAAACATCAGTCTGGTCCATGCTGGTATTTGAATGTTTTTCAATAGGGAATCTTGAAAGGAAGTCCGCATTTCCATGATCATTTGTTCGTCTAAACTCTATTTTGTAGTCAAAACCTGATAAGAAGTGTGAATAGTTAAAAAGTCGTGTAGCTGACATAGAAGGTAGGTTTTTATCAGGATTGAATATTGTAACTAATGGCTTGTGATCCGTTACTAGGACGAATTTACGTCCATAGCAATATTGGAAGAACTTTTTTAGTCCCCAATAAATTCCAGTGGCCTCTTTGTCAATTTGGCTATATTTCTCTTCCGGTTTTGTCAGTGTTCTTGAAGCGAAGGCTATGGGTCTTTCACTTCCATCTGGAAATCTATGTGACAGTACTACACCAAGTCCCACCGGAGATGCGTCTGTTGCCAATACCAAAGGTAAGACTGGATCAAAATGAGTAAGGACAATTTCATTTGTAATGATCTCCTTGACTTTCTGAAATCTTTGTTCACATTGATCTGTCCACTTGTATTTCTTCTCCTTTTTCAGTAGTCCATGTAACGGATTGAGAATCGTTGCCAGGTCCTCGATAACTCTGTTATAATAGTTGACAAGACCTAAGAAGGTTCGCAGTTCACTAACATTCTGGGGTCTTCTTGCTTGTCTGATAGCCTTAACTTTATCTTCTGATTTGTGGATTCCATGGGCATCTATAGTGTGACCTAAGTACTCAATTTGTTTGTGTAGAAACTTGCATTTATCTCTGTTCAACCTTAGTTCATTTTTATTCTTTGAAGTACCATTTCCAACCGAGTGAGCAACTCTTCTTCTGATTTTCCTTAGATGATTATGTCATCGAAGAAGCATTGAGTGCCTTCTATACCTGATAAGACCTTGTCCATGATTCTTTGCCAAATTCCAGGAGCTACTTCAACGCCAAACATGAGTCGATTAACTCTGAATTGTCCCTTATGTGTACTTAAGGTTTGGATGTCAGCACTTGCTTCATCCATTTGTAGGTGTAAGTAAGCCCTCTTTAAGTCCAGAGTACAGAAAGTTTTGCCACCGCTCATATTTGCGAAGATATCTTCAATTCTTGGTATCGGATAGTGTTCGTCTTGAATTTGTCTGTTCACCGTAACCTTATAATCGGCACATATTCTAATTTCACCATAGGGTTTCATTACTGGTACTATGGGTGTTCCCCATTCGAAATTGTCCGTCTGTGTTAATATTCCTGCAGTTTCTAAGCGCTCTAGTTCAGTTTCTACCTTTTGTTTCAAGGAATAAGGTATTGGCCTTGCTTTCATAAATATTGGTCGAGCTTCAGGTACCAGTTGTAAGTGGCCAAGTTGATCAGGTATTTGGCCTATATCTGGCTCGAAAACATCCATGTATTTGTTTAGAAGTTCATCTAAACGTCCTCCTGTTTCTTGTTTGATTGCTTTTATTTCTTTCCAGTCCAACTCTACTTCCCGTAGCCAGTCTCGACCGAAAATAGGATCCAAGTGACCGTCTACAATATAGAGTTTACCCATAAAACTCTGGTTTTTGTATGAACATTGAACAAACACTACGCCTTTGGGCTTGAATAATTCGCCTGTACAGGTTTTAAGTCGTAGCTGTGTATTAAAAAGTCTTTTGTTCGTATTAAGTTTCTTGAACATATTATACGGTAAGGTGCTAATAGCTGAACCTGTATCCAGCTCCATCTGAACTGGATTTCCCTCTAGCAAAACATCAATAAGTATTTTATCACTACTGCTATTGTTCAATTTGTAAATTTCATGAGTTTCTTCTTGAAAATTATCGTTTCCATCTTTTTCAGTCTGATGAACTTTGGTTTCCTTTGCTTGCATACAGACATTGGCAATGTGACCCTGTTTTTTGCATTTGTGACACGTTTCAGAAGCAAACTTGCAGTTGTTGGCTCTATGTTCCCTTGAACCGCAACGGTAGCATCTTCCTCTCAGTTTGTCAAAGGATGAAGGCTGAGATTTCGTGGATACATAGTTCAGTTTTTTGTTTCCAATCTTGTGAACAGTATTTTTTGTAAAATCTGTTGAAGTTTTGACCAGGGAGCTTTCATCTTTGGCTAGTTCCATTGCTGTTGCCAATTTAACAACATCATGAAATCATTTAGTGGTTTTTTCCTGTAGTATCCTCGCTCTTACATCAGCATCTTTAATTCCTCTGATGAACCGCATGCGTAAAAGTGTTGGCGATGGTTTTCCCACAACTCTCACATGAAAAATCACAATCTGTTGTTAATTTTTGGAGTTCAGAGGAATATATTTTCACTGATTCTGATAGGTCCTGTACTCTTGATAAAAATCTATGCTGCAGTGCCCATGTACTCGGCTGAGGATCAACATAATCTGATAGTAACTTTACCAGATCTGAGTAGGTCTTATCAAGTGGGTCCTCAGGCGCACACAAATCATACAATTTCTGATGTAGGGTAGGAGACAAGGCGTGAAGAAGAGTGTAAACCTTGTCCTTGGGTTGCAGTCCATGTCCATGTAAATGCATAAACATCTCTAAGCGCCTGATAAAGTTCTTGAACGTTTCATCATCTTGAAAGGGTGTGAATGATATAGCTGAAGTAAGTGAACGGTACATATGATTACTTCTGTTGGTCATACTACCTTGTTGTAGATCTTTCTCTAGTTCTAATTGTGTTTTTCTGATTTGTAACTGATCTTTTACTTTGTAATATCGGTCTTCCATGTCAACTCTGTATCTAACTTCCTCATCAAACATCTTCTTCTTTTGAATTCAATTCTATTTTCAGTTGAACAGCTTCAAACCTTTTCCAGTTTTTTTTCTAATAAATCCATTCTGTTTTGTAAGACTTCTGTTGGTATGGTGGATACATCATCTAACAGTCTGTCTGCCCTTGTAATATGGCCTTTAACAATAGCCCGTACTTTCCTCAAATCTACTAGTAAATCAATGTTCTGTAAAATTTCCATTCTGTAGTTGACTAGTGAAGATATGAACAATTTAGATTGGTGATTAGATAATAAAAGGTAAAAAATTGAAGGTAATAAAGTGTAGTTTCTTTTTTTTATCCTCGTCGCCAATTAATAAATACAAGCACTTGTAACTTGCATAACTATTTGTTCATAACTGAATAGTAAATATTATGATATGAAAATTGTAAATAATTAACACATGGATTAATATAAAAAGTACAGAAGCAAAATAGCAAAATATGTAACAGATACAAAGTTCTGAGATGAGGCTTTTAAATGTAAATAACCAGTAAATAATTTTTATTTATTTTTTTCAATAATTGTTGTTATTGGTTTCCATAAGAAAATCAGAAAACTCACTTTGTTTACCTAGTTTCTCTATTCACTTATTTCAATCATAATAGTAACACCATTTTACAAAAAAGCGTTGATATATATAAGATATGGGTAAATATGTAATACATAACAAAATAAACGACAAGAGTTAGTTATTCCCTATTCCAGACTACTGGCTTAAGCCAATTAAATTAAATATTTTTTAATAATTGTTTAACTGTTTGGAAAATCTATTTATTATATAAATTTCATGTAATTGATTGCATAATTAAGGCTCTATATCCGTTGCTTTTTCAAGTTTTTTATTCTACAAGCTGATAGTTGTTTTATTGACAGAATTCCATAGAAACAGCACTTAAAGTAATTTTTACAGATTCTTTGGTAAATTTAAGCTGCTTAACGTTGTTTTGATTAGTTCTTAAAATAGAGACGT